CTGTCATTTGAGCCCTCCAATCCTCCTCTAGAAGTGAGGCATTTGGTTGAGTCGTTTTTGTTCCTTTATGCGTTTTGACTATCTAAAAAAAAATGTATCTTTCAAATAGAAATGTATAAGTTTGGGAGACTAACAAAATAGCTTAATTGGATATTTTTATTTTATAAACTATAAATAAAAATTGTATTAAATATTGTGACACAAATTCTAAAAAATACACAACCAATCCTAATAAATAATAATATTACAATGACTCTATTTATGTCTTATTATTTCGAGTTTAGATTTGCTAAAGTTGAATATATCAACTTTGCAGGTGAAATTAGTGTACTCTGAGACTAATTTGTACCTATGTCAATAATATGAACCATTCATTTAATATGACAAGTCAAGAAGAGCATACATGCAAAAAATTGAATTGATAAAATATAAGTAATGATATTATCAATTCACATATATATTATATTACATATAGACGATCCATTCTTAAAAACACATAAGCCCTACGAATAAAAATGATCAAATAGTATAACAATCGATACTGGATCAACTTAATTTTTAGCATAAATAATTTTCTTAATGGTCGCAATTGGTTAAGTATTTTCCAACCGTGCCATGGGTTGAACAAGAGAGAACCGAGATAAGGAGGAGTAAAAGCAGAACCGAACTAAGGAAGTTCGGCCTACTCAGTGGCTCTGCATAGTCGAGTTATTTCGGTCATATTGTAGTTCGGCCATGGTACGAACCATCTCACTTGGTTTAAGCAGTGAGGGGGGGTGTTAAAGGATAAGCATTATCCTTAGGAGTATGAATCCTAGGAGGACTCTGCATGGAGGAATAGAAATCCTACTAGGATTGTGCCACTCGAAACTTATAAAAAGCTCACAAACATCACCTTGGAGGAGGTAACACACAACTTTGTTTTCAGAATACCCAGAGCTTTGTCTATTTGTCAAGTTTTCTAACTTAGGCATCGGAGAGGTTTCTGGCACACACCCGCCGGCTAGCTCACGTTTGTGTTTTCAGGTGATAAAGTGACGTCGTACGGAGGAGCGTGGACTTGGTCAACAGGATTATACGAGAAGGTGTATTTCTTTCCCGTACAAATGATATTATCAATTCACATATATATTATATTACATATAGACGATCCATTCTTAAAAACAGATAAGCCCTACGAATAAAAATGATCAAATAGTATAACAATCGATACTGGATCAACTTAATTTTTAGCATAAATAATTTTCTTAATTAATTGTATAAGATGAACGATTTTGATTACTAAAGTGAGTCCACATTTGTTTGATAATGGTCAGCTTTACTGTGAAGTTGATATCTTCAACTTTAGCTACTCCGGACCCTTATTATTTTATGAGTTATTACTGCAATATATTATAATAGACATACTATTATTTTCCATATCTCTTCACACTTTTTTTTGTGAGTCCTATACAAAGTCTAAAATAATGATACAAACTGTTCACTTCGTAGGCTTAGTAGTAAAAATGAGTCATGAAAAATTCAATTTTATTGGATATCACTAGACATATGAACAAATTATAATTTTTTTTTGAATGGACAACAATTATGAGTTTAAACTTATATAGTTAATTTTATAAAATAAAATGTAATTTGTTTATCTATTTATCGATATTCAATGAAGTTGATTTTTTACACAAAAGATTTTTAATTCGAGATTTATGAGATGAACGATTCAGATCATCATTATAGGCCCAAAATAAAGACCACAAAATAGAATACGAAGGGATATAAATGATAGTGGTATGGAGATGAACAATTCCCTAACATGTCTTCTCTCTAACCACAAGGAGTTGGGTTAGTGAGTGTAGTTTGGGGTGTGAGATATGCTCCTTTCATGTTTTAAATTCAACTCTCACTAAGTACTATTAATTCCTTGGGGTCACATCGTGGATTCTGCCTAAAATTTGTCCAATCCAAATGAAAAGAGCATTTTATGTAAGTCTCAAAATTAGACGAGGGGCTTATAAATTGATCTGGACATCTGAGCATTAGAAGGGAAAAAAAAAAAGTACTCTTTCTAATTTAGCATGTTTGTTGATACATTGAAGAATATTTCTCACATTATTGTGAGTAAAGTAGCATCGTGGTTCCACTCCATATTTATTTTTTACCTAAAGTTACGCCAAAGACTATGGGATCATAGGCCACGTTTTGGAGACATAAAAAACGTGTATTGGCGAAGAGAAATAATCACATTTAGGTTATATTTGTTTGAATAGACTTAAGTTTGGAATTGAATTAATAGTTTAATAAAATTATTAATTTGATATTTAGTTAAACAATTGAAGTACAGATTAATTATTTTAAACTTGACTATTAGTTAAGATATGATACATAATCCGACGGATTCGTAGTCCTAGGACTATCAGTTATGGGAATGCTAATCCAATCCGCCCAAACAAACATGGCCTTAGGATTTAATGATAGAAAATAGTTTTTATTTTTGGGTATTGATTTAGACTCCCTTAAAACACCCACCCTCACAACCCCCTCACACACATGGAGGTTAGGGATTGGGTGAGAAAAAAAAAAAAAAAAAAGAAAAGAAAAAAGTTGACCAATGAAAACTAAAAGGGGGTCAAGAGAGTGACCCCCAAAGGGGTCTCAACATTTATTATTTATTTTTATACATTTGTAAGTTTAGAATTACGCTAGAAGTTATTTACCAAATTCAATCATTTTTAAATAACTTTATCAAATAAGTGTTATTTACAACACATCTTCAAATCCATTTTTTTAAAACATGATTTTAAAAATATTTTGAGTTTAATACATAAGTTCAAAATAATTGTAAATTAAATCTCATTCACACTGCTTTTTTACTTTGATATTTCATTAGATATATAAAAAAAATATATGTATCACTATAGTGGAGTGAAACAATTTTAAAGGCAAATTATAAATTTCAAACCGTGGTTCAAATTAATCTACAGTTAACAAGCGATTCGATACGGATTATACAGTATTTTATACAATCCTATTTATTGAGAGTACATACTTAAAATAGATGTTAAGATGTTTTAAATGACTATGTTATTACAATGTTTATAATTTCAATAAACTTTTATATATGCCAAAACATTTTTACGCAATTTTTCATATTTTTTTTACACATTCCTACCACTAACATATTTTTATTACAATTACTTCACACAAAATATAATTTAAAAAAAAAAATTCCAAGCATGCCCTGCAAAGATTGACAAAATTCAAAACAAATAGAATCCTTATATTTATCACACCTAATTGACAGAGAAAAAATAGGGAGAGAAAAGTGTACAATGTGCTCCAAATACTCGCTTTCACAAAATTCACCCTTGGTTTGGAGGGAATTTTTTTAGTCTGATTTTTTATTTTTAATTATTTTAACTTGGCTGGGGGCGCGACCCCCACTGGGGGTATATAGCGCTGTTGATTTACACCTAATTGACAGAGAAAAAATAGGGGGAGAAAAGTGTACAATGTGCTCCAAATACTCGCTTTCACAAAATTCAGCCTTGGTTTGGAGGGAATTTTTTTTGTCTGATTTTTTATTTTTTAATTATTTTAACTTGGTTAAAAAACTTCTGTTTGAAATTTTTTTTTGAATTTTTTTCATAATTTTAAGATAGAAAAAATAAGGTGATTATGATTTAAATATGATATTTTATTTTATTAATTTTTTAATATATTTTATTTTTTTAAAGGCCTTATGTTCTACAGATTCTGTTTTTTTTTTTTTTTTCTGAGTATCTGCTATGATGATGAGAAAGATTTCCATATATAGGCCTGAATCAGTCAATAATATCAGTATCTGATAAATTGGCCCGGACTAGTTTACTAATTTCCTTCTTTTTTTTTTAATTTGTTTTCAGATATTTAAAAATTTTGTTCTTTCATTTAAAACTTTTAAAAATAGAAATTATTATTATTTTTTTTTCAAATTTTCTCAAAAAACCATTTACAGTATTACTCTCCTTATATTTATCACACCTGAATCAGATAGAGAGAGAGAGAGACAGAGAATTTTTGAAGAGAGAGAGAGAGAGAGAGGGGTTTTGAAGAGATTCAAGGCTCCACTTTGTATGTATGATGAGTCTATAACTTCTCTCTCGTCTCTAATTATTATTATTATTGTTTTTGTCTTTCCGTGAGTGAAAAAAAACTGACAAAACAACACCGATTCGAACTTTGCAGCAATCTAGAGAAAAACAGAGAGAACGAAAGGTTTTGGTTTTCTGAGAAAAGAAGGAGAGAAAAAAAAATGGACGGTGGAGGGAGAGGGAGAGGACGGTGGAAGAACTTGAAACAACGGCTGGGATTGAAGGGGATGGGTTTTTGTGGGTCCCCATGGAGTGTCGGAGCTTTCGAAATGGAAGATGCTCTCGAACAACAAGAACCGGTTAGTAATGGCGACGTTGGTGGTCAGATTTCCGCTCCGCCGCCGTGTGTGGGTCAGATACCGGCCACCGGCATGAACCTCGCGACGGCTCTTGCGGCGGAGCGCAACCTTCGGCCCGCGGGTCCCACAATTGACGCGGCGGCGACAACTAACGGAGGGACGATGCCGACATTCACGCAGTTGAGATCGTTGATGGGATTGTTTGAAGAAACGGACGGCGAGGATCGAAAGAGGAGGGAGAGGGAGAAGGAAAGAGGAGGGGGGATTGATGAGGTGTGTGATGATGAGAAAGATTTCTGTTTGGTTTGGAGTGTCTTAAAAAAGTGTACTTTTTGTCTTTTTACGAAAAGATGTGCAGAAAAGTAGAGAGGTGATATGATGAAAAAAAGATAAAAAGATAAAAAGATGAATTATATAGTAGATGCCAAACCAAGCCATATAGGCCTGAATCAGCCAATCTGATAAATTGGCCCAGACTAGTTTACTAATTTCCTTTCTTTTTTTTCTTTTTTTTTTTTAAATTTGTTTTCAGATATTTAAAAATTTTGTTCTTTCTTTTAAAACTTTTAAAAATAGAAATTACTTTTCTTTTTTTTTTTTTTCAAATTTTCTCAAAAAACCATTTACAGTATTACTCTCCTTATATTTATCACACCTGAATCAGATAGAGACAGAGAATTTTTGAAGAGAGAGAGAGAGGGGGGTTTTGAAGAGATTCAAGGCTCCACTTTGTATGTTTGATGAGTCTATAACTTCTCTCTCATCTCTAATTATTATTATTATTGTTTTTGTCTTTCTGTGAGTGAAAAAAAACTGACAAAACAACACCGATTCGAACCTTGCTGCAATCTAGAGAAAAACAGAGAGAACGAAAGGTTTTGGTTTTCTGAAGGAAGAAGGAGAAAAGAAAAAAATGGACGGTGGAGGGAGAGGGAGAGGACGGTGGAAGAACTTGAAACAACGGTTGGGATTGAAGGGGATGGGTTTTTGTGGGTCCCCATGGAGTGTCGGAGCTTTCGAAATGGAAGATGCTCTCGAACAACAAGAACCGATTAGTAATGGCGACGTTGGTGGTCAGATTTCCGCTCCGCCGCCGTGTGTGGGTCAGATACCGGCCACCGGCATGAACCTCGCGACGGCTCTTGCGGCGGAGCGCAACCTTCGGCCCGCGGGTCCCACAATTGACGCGGCGGCGACAACTAACGGAGGGACGATGCCGACATTCACGCAGTTGAGATCGTTGATGGGATTGTTTGAAGAAACGGACGGCGAGGATCGAAAGAGGAGGGAGAGGGAGAAGGAAAGAGGAGGGGGGATTGATGAGGTGTGTTGCGTGTGCATGGAAAGGAATAAAGGTGCGGCTTTTATCCCATGCGGACACACCTACTGTAGGGTTTGTTCTCGGGAGGTGTGGTTGAATCGAGGGTCTTGTCCTCTGTGTAACCGTTCGATTACCGAGATTCTCGATATCTTCTAGAGATCAGCAGCTTCACTTGATTTTTTACTTTTCTTTTGGGATTTGTCAAATTATTTGCTATTCTTTTTTTTTCTTTTTTTTTTTTCAAAATTTAGAAAGGCATTACATCTTAATGATGAGAACATGCAATAGGATTGGAGGATCATGGTGAAATTATTTGAACCAAAATGATAGTATTTGTTTTAGCATGAATTTTATTTTATTTATTTTTTATCAGAATCATTTGTCTTTATTTTATTCGCAATGATTTTATTATGATTATTTAAAAGTCTCAATTTAAAATTAAAGTAAATGATACCCTTCATTAGAAAATGTGTAATTTAATGGGTTGTTTGGGAAGTGTCAATATAACACATTTTTATTTTTTTATTTTTTATGTTTAAATCTTTTTTGAATTGCATCAAAATATTTTTTTTTTTCCACATCTTTTAACACTTTTCAAAAACCACTAAAATCAAGAACAGTTTTTTAATATTATTTTTTTTCTTTAAATGATATTTCACCTAAATGGGATTTTGTAGATTCTATTTCATGTAAATCAAGTGGTCTTAAATTCGGTTTGTGTTTGTTAAAAAAAAAAAAATTCGGTTTGTGTTCTCGTAAAAAAAAATAAGAAAAAAAATTAAAAAACAAATTAAAATTATTTTATCAATTAACTAGTGGCATCTCAATTCCAATTTTTTTTAGGGGTATTAATCCATAAATCCTAAAATGTGGAATTATAATCTAATCAATCCTATATTTAATTTTGTACACCCAAAGGCCCCATTATTTGGTGATTGACGATTTTGCCTATTTATGTATTGTATTTGTTTTGTGATATTATGTTTGAATGATATATGTGTGCGTAATGTTTGAAAAAATCACACTATAGAGGTTTATAGGTTTAAAAATGTATGTTGGGTGATCCACATTTTGATGACCCACATCTTGTTGGCCCACATTATTTTGCAAACCCATGTTTTGATGGACCATATCAATTTGCAAAACCAACCTCTAAAGCCTCACATTCTGACCATTTTGTGAAGTGTTAGCACCTCAAATCTGAAGTGTGATCCCCCACGACCTAGGAATCTGGCGGCTAACATGATGTGGTAAGACTGGTCTAAGATTTTCCAATGAAATTGTTACACTGTTACGACGCTACTGTTTTGGGCGTAGATATGTTAGATTGGAGTTTCCAAAATCAGCAGTGCATTTTGTTTATGCTTTCCGCAAACACATATCAAAGACATTGATTGTTTTGTTGGGTGTAACCATCGAAACGTTATACATGTGGTTACACACCGCCGACATTGCGAACAACATGTCAACGTTTACTCCCCCAAACTAAACCCATTAACATAATGAACAAATAACCGTTGCCGCAATCCAAGAACACAACACCATGGCCTTCAACGTTGAAGCAGATGGCTAACTACACCACTACACAGCGCGCACGCCTTAACCCCCCCTCCCACGCGGCATTCAAATACTCATGACCCTCGTCATCCCTAAAAATTTGGCCATACATGATCTTCCCATATAGTGCACACTGAGATCAACGTAATCAAGAGAATTCAAACACCCTTCCAAAAAACGTTTCCAGCCTAAAAAAAAAAGAGTGTACATTAGTCACAAAATCCATTCCGTAACCACATAATGGGAGCCTTCGGATCTCATTACCAAAAAATCAGGACTTTGATGTGTATTAATTTAAAAAGAGGACCTATTAGACTAAAACTCTCCCAAATAGGAGTTTCCAATAATTTTCCCTTTTTTTTATTAACTAGGTTTTGATTTTTAATTAATTACAAAATAAAGTGGAACTGATTTGGTTTTGATTTCTAGAATTATTTTTCATTATCAGGACCCGGACAGCATAATTAATATACTTTTTTTTATCAAAATTTTGAATTTTACTTTATTGAGTTGTCGCTGACGGTTAGGGGTGATCGCTGGCGACCGGAAGTAACAGTGACGGTGTTGCCTAAAGGTGGTTAAATAATGAAATTAGATTAAGGATAATTTGTCTAAAAAACAATTAGTGTGCTAAAACTAATAAACATATTTTAGTTGACATTAAACTAATACAAAATATCTTTTAGAAAGCTGGATAAAAAAAATCCAAAAAATTATTAAACACAAAAATACAAAAAAAATTAAAAACTTAAAACAATTTTTGAGTTTCAGAACAAATCAAACTCTTGTATTTTTTTTTTTTAACAGTTCTTTAAACATTTATCTAAATGTTAAAATAAAAAAAAAATTATTTGAACACTAGCCTTAATCACAATTCTTAACTTTTCTTGTTTTTTGTTTTTGAGCACCACACAATTCTTAGGTTTTTAAACTCTAATGTAGCTAGGGTTGCTCGCGGTTCGGTTGCGGCCGACGAACTTTTAATCCGCCGTTCATATGTCGGATTAGTGGATTGGAAAAAATCAATCCGCATTCGTCCGCTAGATTGGAGGATGCGGATTGAGCGGATTGTCAGATGGATACGAATCGATTTGGCAGTTTAAACTTTTACGAATTTTGAACATAATACAACAACTTGTTAACATTTTTTTTTTTGGATAACAATCCAACTCAACATAACTAAAAGATTATCAAATAAATTGTCAAATATTAATAATAAATACATATAAGAAGATCATGCATTTTCAAAATTATTTCATTACTTCTTTTTTTTTTATTCAAAAACTATTTAGTTTGATTTTTTAAAAAAATGACAAAATTAAACATTATATTTTTCACACAAAAATACCAAATATCAACATTTGCCATTTGATAAAAGGATTTTTAAATTGAAAATAGAACATAATATCTAAACTCTTTTTTAAATGAAAATACAAATAGAATATCCAAACAAATTGAAAACACAAAATCTTATAAATTACTAAGGGTAGTCACGGTTTGGCAGTTCGGTTGAGGTTAAATGAACCACAAATCTGCCATTCGTCAAAAATTAGGCGGATTGAAAAAAATCAATTCACAATCGTTTGCTCATCATCACGCTTCCATCCAAAATGTAACAAATCAATTTGATTCTATCAATTTAAACAAATCAAAATATCCGTTTAACACCTTAAATGTAGCCACTATTTTCAACCGTTACCATCACCTCCAGCTATGTTTTAGTTTTGGACTTCAAGGATGTTGTGCAACCTTAATTATAGAAATTCAAACAAAAACATTGAGACAAACCATAAATGAAATATGATTGGTACTTACCTCTCCCCAATGATTTGAATGGTACGTGACCTTTAAATTATATTTGAATTTTGAATTTATCACACAAAATGAATATGTGAAGAAAATAAAATTATGGCTAATATATGAAGGGTAGAGGAGAGAGAGTGGTGGCAGTTAAAGGTATGATTTAGAAAATTAAAGGATAACAGTAAAATTTTATCTTAGAATAAAATTATAATAAAAAAATATGAAAGGTGCTCACAGCAATCACATTTTCATAATTTTGCTTTTAATTATGAATCCTATCATATCTCTCTCATTTCTAACCTTTATACCTTAACCCTAATCCTCCTCTACCATATCTACCACCACCCCTCTACCACCTCTAGCCACCATCTCCTAGTAGGGCTGAGCAAGAAATCCGTAAAATCCGTAATCCGAACTAACTCGTTTACACATTAAGCCCTAGGCTTGAAGTTACATGTAATACATCAAAAGTTGAGCAACAAAGTATGCCCGCCACTAGCCTCCCAGCTATGTCCTTGGAGGTGGCATGCTACCTGCACCTGAAAATGATATTCCCTAGGGCTGAGCAAGAAATCCGTAAAATCCGTAATCCGATACAGTCCAGTCCAATTCGATAGGTTTGGATTGGTTTTTTGAATCCGTGGTTCGGTTCCGGATTGAAGAATTAAAAATCCGTAGTCCACGGATTGGTTCCGGATTGAACCCCACGGTTCCGGATTGGAACCGATCCGAACCGTATACAAATAATCTATATTTTTATTATACATCCTCCCCCATAGTATCTTCTCTTATTTTATATAAAATCTGAACTCAAACTTAAACCTCGTATAATATTTTCTTTTATTACTTTTGTTTGTTAGTTTTTAGTTTTAATTTGTAATGGTCTAAATACTTATGGTGAAACCAGTTTTTTTTATGATTGTTTAAATTCTAGAACATTATGTCGCTATTATAAAAAAACTTGTTGCTATTATAGAAGTAATATAGCGTTATGTTTATATTTTTATAAAATTAAAGTGTTATATATATATATATATATATATTTTTGTTATTTAATTATGTGAATCCGTGGTCCTAAACCGATCCAATCACTAAAAAAAAGGATTGGTTCGGATTGGTTCCAAGATTTAAACGGATTTGGTAAACACTGAGCCAACTCTCTCTCTCTCTCTCTCTCTCTCTCTCTCATTAAATTGTAACACATTATTTGGAAAATTGAACTATTTAACATATTTATAACAAAACGTTCAATTTATTGAATATTCTTCATCAATTCATTCTGTTTTGCTGTTAAAAAGGAGTTTTGCTAAATACTTGCATTTATTTGGGCCTCTGGCTTAATTTATAAATTGGAACAACCGGTGTGTGTTCTAATTTGACATTTATATGTAAGAAATCAATAGTTGCGTGCCAATTATCATGATTTAATCTTAGATAAGTTACTGGCTGAACTGGAGGGTCATGCTTTGTATCATTTGAGTGTTGTTGTCATTGATTATTACATCCCTTCTTATTTCAAAATACGAAGGACCACGCATATATAACAACTTTTCAGTCTTGCATATATGGTATAACAACGGTTGCTGCTGCAGGTTTCAGATGGTGACCACATTGACAGATTAATATCTTGCCTGCATATGGCTCTTCCATTTTTTATGGTACAAATTGTATTTGCAATCAATTTTACCAAATTTAGTGGATTATATGATTATCTGTCCCCCTTAACTTTTTTTTTTTTTTTTGGGTTTCCAGAGGGGTGCATCAAGTAATAGGTTTCTCAACTATTTGAACAAGAATATTGTACCTGTTTTTGATAAGGTAATTAGTACTTTCCACTAATTATTTTATTTGGAGATTTGATTGAGTGGTGTTTCAGAGTTTGCAAGATGTAACGGGGGCAGAATTTAAATTGTTCATGGACTTCTTGAGAAGCTTGAGTTTATTCGGTCAGAATGCTGCTGTTGAGCGTGTTCAGGAACTTGTTGAAATTATTGAAGGGCAGGCTGATCTAGATGCACAGTTTAATGTGAGTGCTTGTTTCTGGTCTCATATATGACAAGCTGGTAAACAGAGTATTATTTATTTATCTTTTATTACGATGATAATACACCAGCTACTGTGAGTGTTGACATCATAATAGTACTTTCTGATAAGTTCTTTCAAATTTTTAATTTTATTCTTAAAAAAATGAGACTTGTTTTACTCATTTGTTCTCTGCTGTGTGCTGGACTACTTGTATGATTATTTAATTGAATAAGCATGAAATGTTAGCTTGCTTCTATGTGTTAGTTGTGTGCAACTAAGTTATTATGCAAATTTAGTATACTTTTAGAAAGACTATGGGTGTGTTTGGTTTGTGTTTTGAAACATGTTTTTGGAAGAAAATTTCTAAAAACATGTTTGGTTACTAATTTTTTTAAAAAAAATTTCAAAATTACTTCCCTCTCTATTACATATCAATCTATCATTTTCTCTCTCTTATCTCTCCTCCTCAATCACTCTCTCTCTCACACATATCTACTCAACTACAACAAAATATCAAATCATATATATATATATATATTGTTTTGGGTTTTATGTGGTTTGCTTAGTGCTCATAGTAAGTTTGCTTACAGTTGCAAAGTGCAAGCTCTTTTTTGCCTGTGATGGCCCTTGCTCCTCAAGAGAAGGAAAGGATTGTTGATATGGCGTAAGTAACTGAACTCTTTCACACAGAAATATCTGCTTGCTATCTATCTGAATTTTTTTGCATTATCCTGTGTTTTTAGTTTCTTATTTTTATTTGAGCAAGTTTAATGGCTAAGTTTCTCTTTCTTTCTTTTCTTTTGTTTTATTATACTTTAAATGTTGTCTTTTGTTTTCCTCTTTCTCTTCTTCATTTTAAAACAAGGATATGAGTTGCATGTATTGGGATATACTCTTAATTTTATTTTGTCTAAGTGTCTTGTGAATCCAATTAGTGGGAAGTTGGATTATTGTTTGGAAGAACTTCTTTCTGTGGTGGAGAATGATATTTTTGGAGATGTTTCTGAGGAAAAGGAAGTGGAAAAGATTGCTTCAAAAATGAAAGAGACTAGAAAGCGCAAGTCTTTCGAAACCCTGAAATTAATTGCCCAAAACATCACATTCAAAACGCATGCCTTGAAGTTGCTTTCACCTGTTACAACTTGTCTGCAGAAGCATTTAACCCCAAAAATGAAATCGAAATTGGAAACTATGTTAAACAACATAGCTGCTGGTATTGAGTGCAATCCATCAGTTAATCAGACAGACCTCTTTATCTTTTTATATGGCCTCATAGAAGATGGCATTACCCATGAAACTCGTGCAAAGGCCAATCAGCAATCTGGAGATGAGGCAAGCTGCAAAACTATTACATCAGGCAGGTTAATTGACTCTGGCTCACAATCTTCACATCTTATTACAGTGTTTGCTCTTGGGGTGCTGCACAATTCCATGAAGAATACTAAACTTAACAAAAAGGACGAACAACTGTTATCAATGTTGGATCCTTTTGTAAGATTGCTCACTGACTGCTTGACTGCCAAATACGAAGATATCATTTCTGCAGCGCTCAGGTGCCTTGCTCCACTGGTGAGGCTGCCTCTACCATCTCTTGAATCACAAGCTGACAAGATAAAGACCTCTCTGTTGGTTATAGCTCAAGGCTCTGTAAATGCTGGCAGCCCTGTGATGCAATCATGTCTAAGTTTGCTAACAGTGCTTCTGCGGAGCACTAGGATTACGCTTTCCACAGATCAATTGCATATGGTGATCCAGTTTCCTTTATTTATTGATCTCGAAAGAAATCCCTCGTTTGTTGCTCTTTCACTTTTAAAGGCTATAGTGAACCGCAAACTTGTAGTCCATGAGATATACGATCTTGTGACTCGGGTTGCAGAACTTCTGGTAACAAGTCAAGTGGAGCCAATTCGCAAAAAATGCAGTCAAATTCTATTGCAATTCTTACTTGACTATCATCTTTCAGAGAAACGTTTGCAGCAGCATCTTGATTTCTTGCTTTCAAATCTGAGGCAAGGATATAGTAATTATCCACATCTCATTTACCTCTATTATTTTTAATTTCTCTTACAGTGATTTAATTTTCTTGCAGGTATGAACATTCGACGGGAAGAGAAGCTGTGCTTGAAATGCTCCATGCAATTGTAATCAAGTTCCCAAAAGCCATTATAGATGAGCATTCCCAGACCATATTTGTTCATTTGGTGGTTTGTTTGGCTAATGATTATGACAACAAAGTCCGCTCCATGACTGGAGCTGCTGTAAAGCTTCTGATTGGGCATGTGAGCCCGCATTCACTTCATTCCATTCTTGAGTATAGTCTCTCTTGGTACTTAGGTGGAAAGTAGCATTTATGGAGTGCTGCAGCCCAGGTAAAGTAATCAAAACTGGTCTGCAAGTTGTATATTTTGCAGATTTTTAGCTAGCATGTGTGAGCCTGCATTCACATTAAATTTTGACCATATGCAACATTAAACACATTAAAGTTTGATCATATGCTTTAACAGAAGTGAAAAAATTACATTAATTTTTGAAAAAAGACCGAAGGATATAACATCAAACATGTTTTTGTTTTTTTCTAAGAGAATTCGAAGTGGGAATTGGGTTTTGTTTACTGTTCATTCGCATGTTTTCACTTGATTTGGTGAAGGTGAAAACATCCTTTTTGTGTTGTCATTTTTTGAACCTTGTATTGAAGACGGATTTCAAAAAAATTAAAAACAAAAGCAAGCACCAAACATATTTTTCTGTTGTGTTTTCAAAATTTTTGAAAACAGCAACATGAAAACATGAAACACAACTGGAACCAAACGGGCCCTTAATAATTGGATGCTGAATGTGATGGAATCCATATTCACCTCCCTCCCCTTGTCCCCTGTTTCTCTCTTGCACACACATTCTTTGTATAATTATGCAGTAGTATGAACTCTGGAATCTAATTTGAGTCATGAATAGCAAGTTGTGTGTTTGCTTTCTTTGCTTTGAAGTTGTACTATATGGGTTTTGTTTATTTGTTTTTTGGCTTTAAAACATTTTTGTGTAGGTCTTGGGATTATTGGTTGAAGTAATGAGGAAAGGCTTTCAAAAACATGTCAATGGTGTGTTGCCAGTGATGAGAAGCATTTTCCAGTCTGCTATCAATGTTCTTACAAATGGACAGCTAGATCTTTCTGTTGAAGCTACAGTTCCCTTTTGGAAAGAGGCATATTACTCACTAGTCTTGTTGGAGAAGATACTGCATCAGTTCCATGATTTGTTCTTAGCAAAGGATCTTGAGGTATAAGCCTATTCATTGTATGTGTCTACGTGCATGATAATTATTTCCTTCATTTCTGTGTATATTTATTCTATATTAAAATGTTTGTAACACATGCAACATAGCATTTCAAACCTTTGTGAGAGTGAGAGCCATCATTTTTTGGGATAAGGCTGTAGGTGGGGTCGTATTGGTAGCCTGAAAACTACTTTAATTAACAAAAGAGAAGGGCTGTCTGGCATGGGGACTAATTGAAGTAATGAGCCTTCCAATATTGGGCTGGCAATTTGAACCAGTTTTGTGGGTCAGTTTGATGAGTGTAACAATTAACAATGACCTGATCACCTTGTCTTGAATCATAAATTATTGCTAAATGCATTTGCAGTACAATTCCTTGGTTAATTATAAAGTATATTTGGGCAAAATCCACTTTTCTCCTCATCCCCTGCTGTGGATTTGCCCATTTGCAGTGCACCTCCCAAACACTAAAAAATAACAAAAATTACCTTATGTGGTTTTGGGCCCTTTTGTAGTTCACATCCTTATTGTTAAGAATTTCGTCTAATTTGATGAAAATTGGGGCTTCGGTGAGGGGCTTTGACTGCAATGGGGGATTTGGCAAATTCTTCAATTGCGATGGATGCTTTGATATCCAGGGCTTCGACAAAGGCTGTGATTGTGGTCGCTGAAGCCTTCAATCTAGGGTTTCAATGAGGCTGGCAACAATCGCAATGACGGGTTCACTCTATCTATGATTAGTTTCATTTAATAAATTCTTTCTTTTAGGAAAAAAAAATGTCAGAAAGAAAAACAGTTGTGTGGTGCCATGTCCTGCCTTGTCCATCAAGTGTTTGGCATTTGTTTTAAAAATAACAAAAATCAGATAGAGTGAACAAGCTGGAGTTTTCCCCGTGGGAAAAAGAACAAAGATGAGGAAGACCATGCATGTGCTGTTAGAGAAGTAAATATTCTTGTTTCTTATGGAATTCTTAGTTGTTCTCATATTTATAGTAATTAACAATTTGTATTGAACACCAAGGAGAACTTTTTTTCCTTTCTCTTGACATTCTTTATTCTTTAGCTTTAGGCCAGAAACAGAAAGAATTCAACTTGATTAATTAATCGATGTAGAAACTTATTCCATTAAGATAAAATTGAACAAAATGTCAGAGAGGGCATAATTTTCTTTTTAATTATTATTTATATATGAAATGTGCTGTTGCTGATGCCGGTTTTGAAATCCTCCATGTTTCCTAAACACCTGTGGAAGAGATGAAAGGGTAATATGCTTGATTTGCTGATTCATCATTTCTACAGTGCATCAAGCTTACCTAATAGGTTGTCCATGGGATGCATACTATTAATCAAACAAAATAGCTGTCAGTATACCCTTGAAACTAGAGCACCTTTCTTGAACCTTGAATAAATATTCTTCAATTAAAGCTTCTTTTTTGGGTGGGTGCTGAGTGCTGACTGATCAATTTGGATCCCCATGAAGGGGTTTCCATCTCTAATAACAAAATGAAACTATCAATTTGGATCCCCATGAAGGGGTCTCCAACTTAGTTTCACATTTTTAATACATTTTTTTTGAACTACATTTGTTATTCATTTGTCACTTGCTTTTTCACTTATAGCTCACCTAATCCATGCTTGATCTGGGCTGTGTTATTTTGTTGTACTTTATAACTCATCAGCCAGGCTATCTTTGTGCAATTCTCATAATGAAGCTATATACCATGACACTTTTTTGTTGCCAGTTGTTGCATCTTAGTTTATCTGTTTGGTGCAGCTTCCTTAACAGTTTTGTTTAAGCATATTGGGAACACTGATGAGCCTAGCACCGAGGAAATCATTTATGAGCCTAGCACCGTGGAAAGCATTCGTGAAAAGGTTTTATGCTTTATCAGGGATAAGGTGAGATATTTCCTAATGTTTTTATTAGTTCCTTAATTCCCCCTGGCATATGTGAACCATAACTGCTGCAATTTTTTAGGTGTTTCCAATTAAAGCAGAACTATTGAAGCCACAGGAGCAGATGGAGAGACATATAACTGATTTGGTGAAAAAAGTATGACCCTGTTCATAATTCTTTTGTTCATTAGTCTATTCTATTCTTTAATTATTTTTTTTTTGTGCTTATATGCCATGTCATCTTTTGCCGATATGGTGGGTCACTTGGTTCCATTTCCCATCTATATAGTAGGATGCCAAATTTTGGGTCCTTGTTTTGTTTGTCATTTGTGTTCTTATATATTTTTGAGAGGTTGATTGAGTGGTGTTCCAGAGTTTGCAAGATGAAACGGGGGCAGAATTTAAATTGTTCATGGACTTCTTGAGAAGCTTGAGTTTATTCGGTCAGAATGCTGCTGTTGAGCGTGTTCAGGAACTTGTTGAAATTATTGAAGGGCAGGCTGATCTAGATGCACAGTTTAATGTGAGTGCTTGTTTCTGGTCTCATATATGACAAGCTGGTAAACAGAGTATTATTTATTTATCTTTTATTACGATGATAATACACCAGCTACTGTGAGTGTTGACATCATAATAGTACTTTCTGATAAGTTCTTTCAAATTTTTAATTTTATTCTTAAAAAAATGAGACTTGTTTTGCTCATTTGTTCTCTGCTGTGTGCTGGACTACTTGTATGATTATTTAATTGAATAAGCATGAAATGTTAGCTTACTTCTATGTGTTAGTTGTGTGCAACTAAGTTATTATGCAAATTTAGTATACTTTTAGAAAGACTATGGGTGTGTTTGGTTTGTGTTTTGAAACATGTTTTTGGAAGAAAATTTCTAAAAACATGTTTGGTTACTAATTTTTTTAAAAAAAATTTCAAAATTACTTCCCTCTCTATTACATATCAATCTATCATTTTCTCTCTCTTATCTCTCCTCCTCAATCACTCTCTCTCTCACACATATCTACTCAACTACAACAAAATATCAAATCATCTCAAATTTCCAAACTCCAAAACTATTTTCAAAATATACAACCAAACAAACCAAAATAATTTCTAAACTCTCTCCCCAAATTTTTTTTTTTAATTTTATCTCAAAACACAAACCAAACACACCCTATGTTTTGGTGTGTTGAAAATTTTGCCATTTCTCTTTCCTATGAGCTACTACATAAATTTGCCACCCTACTGTAATTGAGAAAGTAAATAGCTTCCAAAAAATTATTAGAAGGAGACAATGCAATATTCAAAGTAACAAGACAAAATGACTAATTTGGAACCCTGAAGTTTCACTAGATTCACATCTTAATTTTTTGGTGTGATGGCAGCTCTTTCACTAAATTTTGAGCATGGGTGTTTTTAGAGGAGCTTTAATTACATCGTTCATTGCCTTAATCTCCAAAGAGAGGACTAGAGGACATGAGAAATTTTAGACTGATCAGTTTGGTGGGCCGTGTTCAAAAGATCATGTTTGATATTATAGAAAAAGTAATCGGTAGGGTGATTTTGGAGAGTCAAAATACTTTTTTGAAAGGAAGGTAAATTTTGTTTCTTGATTTTTTATATGGTTGGGTATTTGTGGATTCTCGTGCTTGATTTATTTCTGGGTTCGTAGTTATAGTCTTTTACTGTAGTGGTGCATAGAAGCTGCTATGCATATGGAAGAAGTGAAGCAATACTGCATTGGTCATGGGGTAACAAAGAAGCATTATAAAAGGCATCACGAGGAGGGTGATCTTTTTGGTGTCTCCTTTGTGCTCTTGTATAGATTGTTAGGGAGAGGTTTTCTCAAGTTTGGTCTTGCTGTAAACCATTTGGATGGTGGCCTTTGGTTTCTCTGGAGGTGGCCCTTCACATGTATCCCATGTGCAATTTTGAATATTGACTCAGTTCTTAGTTCTTACTTACATAAATGCATCATCGTTTTGAAACTAAATTCCGGCATAGTAAGTCAAGAAAGCTTGATATATGATATAGGAAAAACTGATCTTGTAGATAATTTGTTTCTAGATCTTCAGAAGCTCTGATGTGCTAACTATAGCATGATGTACTAACCATAGTATGTATTTATGCATAGAAGCAACATACTTTTTTCTATTTCTCTGTGGGTTATTTAATTCACAAATATGACATTTCTACAACGGTCCGACATGACCCCATAAACTGTTTTTCTACAACGGTCCGACATGACCCCATAAACTGTTTTTCTACAACGGTCCGACATGACCCCATAAACTGTTTTTCTACAACGGTCCGACATGACCCCATAAACTGTTTTTCTACAACGGTCCGACATGACCCCATAAACTGTTTTTCTACAACGGTCCGACATGACCCCATAAACTGTTTTTCTACAACGGTCCGACATGACCCCATAAACTGTTTTTCTACAACGGTCCGACATGACCCCATAAACTGTTTTTCTACAACGGTCCGACATGACCCCATAAACTGTTTTTCTACAACGGTCCGACATGACCCCATAAACTGTTTTTCTACAACGGTCCGACATGACCCCATAAACTGTTTTTCTACAACGGTCCGACATGACCCCATAAACTGTTTTTCTACAACGGTCCGACATGACCCCATAAACTGTTTTTCTACAACGGTCCGACATGACCCCATAAACTGTTTTTCTACAACGGTCCGACATGACCCCATAAACTGTTTTTCTACAACGGTCCGACATGACCCCATAAACTGTTTTTCTACAACGGTCCGACATGACCCCATAAACTGTTTTTCTACAACGGTCCGACATGACCCCATAAACTGTTTTTCTACAACGGTCCGACATGACCCCATAAACTGTTTTTCTACAACGGTCCGACATGACCCCATAAACTGTTTTTCTACAACGGTCCGACATGACCCCATAAACTGTTTTTCTACAACGGTCCGACATGACCCCATAAACTGTTTTTCTACAACGGTCCGACATGACCCCATAAACTGTTTTTCTACAACGGTCCGACATGACCCCATAAACTGTTTTTCTACAACGGTCCGACATGACCCCATAAACTGTTTTTCTACAACGGTCCGACATGACCCCATAAACTGTTTTTCTACAACGGTCCGACATGACCCCATAAACTGTTTTTCTACAACGGTCCGACATGACCCCATAAACTGTTTTTCTACAACGGTCCGACATGACCCCATAAACTGTTTTTCTACAACGGTCCGACATGACCCCATAAACTGTTTTTCTACAACGGTCCGACATGACCCCATAAACTGTTTTTCTACAACGGTCCGACATGACCCCATAAACTGTTTTTCTACAACGGTCCGACATGACCCCATAAACTGTTTTTCTACAACGGTCCGACATGACCCCATAAACTGTTTTTCTACAACGGTCCGACATGACCCCATAAACTGTTTTTCTACAACGGTCCGACATGACCCCATAAACTGTTTTTCTACAACGGTCCGACATGACCCCATAAACTGTTTTTCTACAACGGTCCGACATGACCCCATAAACTGTTTTTCTACAACGGTCCGACATGACCCCATAAACTGTTTTTCTACAACGGTCCGACATGACCCCATAAACTGTTTTTCTACAACGGTCCGACATGACCCCATAAACTGTTTTTCTACAACGGTCCGACATGACCCCATAAACTGTTTTTCTACAACGGTCCGACATGACCCCATAAACTGTTTTTCTACAACGGTCCGACATGACCCCATAAACTGTTTTTCTACAACGGTCCGACATGACCCCATAAACTGTTTTTCTACAACGGTCCGACATGACCCCATAAACTGTTTTTCTACAACGGTCCGACATGACCCCATAAACTGTTTTTCTACAACGGTCCGACATGACCCCATAAACTGTTTTTCTACAACGGTCCGACATGACCCCATAAACTGTTTTTCTACAACGGTCCGACATGACCCCATAAACTGTTTTTCTACAACGGTCCGACATGACCCCATAAACTGTTTTTCTACAACGGTCCGACATGACCCCATAAACTGTTTTTCTACAACGGTCCGACATGACCCCATAAACTGTTTTTCTACAACGGTCCGACATGACCCCATAAACTGTTTTTCTACAACGGTCCGACATGACCCCATAAACTGTTTTTCTACAACGGTCCGACATGACCCCATAAACTGTTTTTCTACAACGGTCCGACATGACCCCATAAACTGTTTTTCTACAACGGTCCGACATGACCCCATAAACTGTTTTTCTACAACGGTCCGACATGACCCCATAAACTGTTTTTCTACAACGGTCCGACATGACCCCATAAACTGTTTTTCTACAACGGTCCGACATGACCCCATAAACTGTTTTTCTACAACGGTCCGACATGACCCCATAAACTGTTTTTCTACAACGGTCCGACATGACCCCATAAACTGTTTTTCTACAACGGTCCGACATGACCCCATAAACTGTTTTTCTACAACGGTCCGACATGACCCCATAAACTGTTTTTCTACAACGGTCCGACATGACCCCATAAACTGTTTTTCTACAACGGTCCGACATGACCCCATAAACTGTTTTTCTACAACGGTCCGACATGACCCCATAAACTGTTTTTCTACAACGGTCCGACATGACCCCATAAACTGTTTTTCTACAACGGTCCGACATGACCCCATAAACTGTTTTTCTACAACGGTCCGACATGACCCCATAAACTGTTTTTCTACAACGGTCCGACATGACCCCATAAACTGTTTTTCTACAACGGTCCGACATGACCCCATAAACTGTTTTTCTACAACGGTCCGACATGACCCCATAAACTGTTTTTCTACAACGGTCCGACATGACCCCATAAACTGTTTTTCTACAACGGTCCGACATGACCCCATAAACTGTTTTTCTACAACGGTCCGACATGACCCCATAAACTGTTTTTCTACAACGGTCCGACATGACCCCATAAACTGTTTTTCTACAACGGTCCGACATGACCCCATAAACTGTTTTTCTACAACGGTCCGACATGACCCCATAAACTGTCTTCTACAAACGGTCCGACATGACCCCATAAACTGTTTTTCTACAACGGTCCGACATGACCCCATAAACTGTCTTCTCCAACGGTCCGACATGACCCCATAAACTGTCTTCTACAGTGGTCTGACACCGCCATCCAGTGTCCTCTACACCATTATGACACCACCATACCGTGTCCTCTACAACGTTATGACACCCCCATACAGTGTCCTCTACAACGTTATGACACCCCCATACAGTGTCCTCTACAACGTTATGACACCACCATTCAGTGTCTTCACCAACGGTCTGACACGACCATACAGTGTCTCCTATCCTTTTTTATTTTTATTTTCTTGTTTTGTTACTCTCTCCAAACTCAAGTTGGTTAGTTTCTCTCCTCCTTGAGTTTGCGGGGGGCTGTTAGAATTTCCCATCTTTACCTTCACCTACTCCACTACACACTCCACTTCACCACACACTCCACTTCACCTAACCCACTATCACCTCCACTACACCTACTACCACATTTTCTTCTATATATAGATTGTATAGGAATTGTAATTAATCAATCTTGTAATACAGAATCATCAATCAATCAATATAAATACATAAATTTTTACATATTATTATCTGAATCTAAAGAAGATCCAATCCCAGCAAAATACTTTTTCTTTATGACGTGGAACCCCTTCAAGGCAAGGCCACTTTGGGCTGACCGTTGCAGGCTGAACCTCGGATACCAACATCCAATCCCTGCCAAATACATTCCTAAGATATCTTGTAATATTAATTAAGGCCTGGTTTGGCATGTCTTAAACAAGACAAAAAGTCAGGCATTCTTCTACCAGGAAGAATTCTCCTCAAAAGAACAGTCCAAGTATATGCTGAAAAATATTAACAAAAAAATAAATGATCGTGATCAAACCCATTGCACAATACACACTTGTTTTCAGAAACAATCCCCCACTTAAACATTCTATCCATTGTAGCCAGTCCTCACTGAACAGCAACCCATTACACAAAGCTCCACTTAGGAACATTTTGAGGCAACCATGCCAATTTATGTCAAGGGACGATAGGGTATAGTGTTTGAATTGCTTGCCAAGCTATTCACCATTACTAGAGGGTAGCCAAAACACGGAGTCAGGCCTATTAGGATTCAATTCAAAGCTAGCAGGGTATTAGCTTCAATCTCAGAACAGCAACCAATTGCACAAAGCTCCACTTAGCAACATTTTGAGGAAACCATGCCAATTTATGTCAAGGGACGATAGGGAATACCATTTGAATTGCTTGCCAAGCTGAAGCCACAGTATATTCACCATTAGTAGAGGGTAGCCAAAACACTGAGTCAGACCTATTAGGATTCGATACGAAGCTAGCAGGGGTATTAGCTTTAATCTCAGTAATATCCACTCTTCTACCTCTAGGCCACTTCCAATTCCTAAAATTAATGATAAGAGGAAACTCTGCTATTCACAGCCATGCCCATATGAAAAGCAACCCTTTCCCCATATTTCTTATTCAAAGGACCCAAGGGATGCCAATTATCAAATCGCGGAAATGTAACAGTCCCATCACCAATGATATATTGATCAAAGGCTGCCCCACAGCTCTTAGTTCAAAAAACTTCCTGACAGTCCAAGATGCCTCAGTAGGAAGACACTTACCCTTAATTACACAAGTATGGACCCACATAACCCACAAAGAATCAGCTTTCTTACTTAAAGCCCACAAAGGTTGTCTTAGCATAGTGGCCTTATTCCACTCTCTCAAATTTCTGAATCCCAAGCCCTCTTCAGCCTTTGGTGCACAAATATGCATCCACTTCACTTTTGCACTGTAGTACCTAAACTCACTCCCTGTCCAAAAATATGCATCCACTAGAGAGAAGTTTGTTTTATCTCTATTATTATTTTTAAGGAAAACTCGTCAGATGTATTCATTCATATCATATCTGGTAGGTAGGGTAGCAGAATGGATGAATATGCTTTCCCTTGATGTCTTGGGAAAGAGAACGGAAAGGAGGCACAAATGTTATGCCACCTTATTTATGTGAACTGCAAATTTATATTTTTTTTTGGTACACGTTAATCTTTTGTGTGTGATTACTTAGATTAGGGGCCTTGATCATCAGTGCTGATTGAATGTCTGCTCAAGCTGCTCATCTACAACCCAAAGTTTAATCTAAAGGTAAGACCATCAGAATCATTCATGTTTTAATTAATCTGTGGTATTATTCGTTAAAATAAACTTTACCAACTTTATTAAAAAATCATATATCAAAGTGAACTGAATCAATGGAGCTTTGATAGTTAACTATGCATGTATTTGTTATGGTTGTTAGCTTATTAATCATCGTGTACTGAAATTTGCAGGTACAACAATAGGTACAGTTTTATTATGCCAGGTAGTTGTCTCAATACGATGTACATGTTTATAGGATTTAATTGATTTTTGCAAAGATACGGGTTTGCAATCCAGTGTTGCTGCCACTATCATGCTTCTCTGATAAATTTTCCAATTCTGTTTCTTTATTAGGTGCCTTACATCACTACTGCTTTGATGGATGCGAAGCTTGGCACGGAAGGGCGCAAGGATCTTTTTGATTGGCTATCAAGGCAACTTAGTGGATTAAGCAATTTTCCTGATGCTGTAAATCTGAATTATGTATTGTTTCAATTTGTTATGCTAGATGGATGTGACTTGTGAATGAAAATTTAGAATAGTTGTATTGTGTCGAATGTTAATGATTCAGTTAATTTGAATGATGTTTTAAAATTATAGGTTTACTATGGATTGAATGAATTATTAGGAACTACAGGTGTATTGTTTTCCTACTTTGGCGACAAATTTATTAGTCGCGACAAATAAATTATTTTTTTTCGCAAAAAATGACAATTGCCGACCAAGAGGATTGGTCGCAAAAAATACATCTATTGCCGACCAAAACAGTTCTTGGTCGTGGAAACTCACTTTTGCCGACCAAAAGTTTTGGTCGCAAAAAGTAACAAATGGCGACCAAAATCTTTTTTGGTCGTGGAATGTCACAATTGACGACCAAACTTTTTGGTCGCGGAATGTCACGATTGGCGACCAAAATTTTTTGGTCGCGGAATGTCACAATTGGCGACCAAAATTTTTGGTCGCGGAATGTCACGATTGGCGACCAAAATTTTTGGTCGTTGAATGCGATAATTGGCGACCAAACTTTTTGGTAGGGAAAATATCACTTTTCGCGACCAAAGTGTTTTGGCGACAAAATAAATTAGTCGCGGTAATTAAATATTTAGCGACCAAAAATTTAGTCGCGAAATCCAACTTTTGCCGACCAACCACAATTTTGGTCGCAAATTACTTTTGCCGACCCTCAATTGGCGACCAAAGTAGCGACCAAAAAAATTGGTCGCGGATAACTTTTGCCGACCAAAAATTGACTTTTAGCGACCAATTTTTTTGTTGCCAAAAGTGTTAATTCTTGTAGTGAGTGGCTAGTATGGGCTAGGGGCGGTAGAGGTTGGTTGATAGAGGTGGTGGCTGGGGTAGAAGTAGGATTAGAAGTGTGAGAGGTTGAGGTTAATTTCAGTATTATGTAGGGTGTCCAAACAATTTTTACAAATTTTGAAATTGTTTGATGGGGTCCAAAAAATAAAAAATGTTGGTGCTATAAGTCCAAAGGAAAAAATGGTAAGAACTAACAGGTGGGAGTCCAACAAAAAAAAATAAAAAAATGAGCTAATAGCAGCACTTTTTTTTTTGAAATTCTTCATATGTTCTGTATACTTGCTAGAAATTTTATAATTCAAATTTTAACTTTCAATTTTTTTTAGATGTTGAAATTTTAACTTTCAAATTTGATTAGCTTGTTAGAATATATTTTTAAAAAAATTAAAAACTCTTCTAATTAAGCCATAAATGCTGCAGGTAATTTCATTAAATCAAAACCATAAATGCTGCAAATGATTTCATTCATTAATTTGAATTGCATTCGAATTTGAATTTCTTTAATAATTCATTAAATCAAAACCATAAATACTGCAAATGATTTCATTCATTAATTTGAATTGCATTTGAATGTGAATTTCGTTAATATTTCATTAAATCAAAACCATAAATGCTGCAAATGATTTCATTCATTAATTTGAATTGCATTTGAATGTGAATTTCGTTAATATTTCATTAAATCAAAACCATAAATGCTGCAAATGATTTCATTCATTAATTTGAATTGCATTTGAATGTGAATTTCGTTAATATTTCATTAAATCAAAACCATAAATGCTGCAAATGATTTCATTCATTAATTTGAATTGCATTTGAATGTGAATTTCGTTAATATTTCATTAAATCAAAACCATAAATGCTGCAAATGATTTCATTCATTAATTTGAATTGCATTTGAATGTGAATTTCGTTAATATTTCATTAAATCAAAACCATAAATGCTGCAAATGATTTCATTCATTAATTTGAATTGCATTTGAATGTGAATTTCGTTAATATTTCATTAAATCAAAACCATAAATGCTGCAAATGATTTCATTCATTAATTTGAATTGCATTTGAATGTGAATTTCGTTAATATTTCATTAAATCAAAACCATAAATGCTGCAAATGATTTCATTCATTAATTTGAATTGCATTTGAATGTGAATTTCGTTAATATTTCATTAAATCAAAACCATAAATGCTGCAAATGATTTCATTCATTAATTTGAATTGCATTTGAATGTGAATTTCGTTAATATTTCATTAAATCAAAACCATAAATGCTGCAAATGATTTCATTCATTAATTTGAATTGCATTTGAATGTGAATTTCGTTAATATTTCATTAAATCAAAACCATAAATGCTGCAAATGATTTCATTCATTAATTTGAATTGCATTTGAATGTGAATTTCGTTAATATTTCATTAAATCAAAACCATAAATGCTGCAAATGATTTCATTCATTAATTTGAATTGCATTTGAATGTGAATTTCGTTAATATTTCATTAAATCAAAACCATAAATGCTGCAAATGATTTCATTCATTAATTTGAATTGCATTTGAATGTGAATTTCGTTAATATTTCATTAAATCAAAACCATAAATGCTGCAAATGATTTCATTCATTAATTTGAATTGCATTTGAATGTGAATTTCGTTAATATTTCATTAAATCAAAACCATAAATGCTGCAAATGATTTCATTCATTAATTTGAATTGCATTTGAATGTGAATTTCGTTAATATTTCATTAAATCAAAACCATAAATGCTGCAAATGATTTCATTCATTAATTTGAATTGCATTTGAATGTGAATTTCGTTAATATTTCATTAAATCAAAACCATAAATGCTGCAAATGATTTCATTCATTAATTTGAATTGCATTTGAATGTGAATTTCGTTAATATTTCATTAAATCAAAACCATAAATGCTGCAAATGATTTCATTCATTAATTTGAATTGCATTTGAATGTGAATTTCGTTAATATTTCATTAAATCAAAACCATAAATGCTGCAAATGATTTCATTCATTAATTTGAATTGCATTTGAATGTGAATTTCGTTAATATTTCATTAAATCAAAACCATAAATGCTGCAAATGATTTCATTCATTAATTTGAATTGCATTTGAATGTGAATTTCGTTAATATTTCATTAAATCAAAACCATAAATGCTGCAAATGATTTCATTCATTAATTTGAATTGCATTTGAATGTGAATTTCGTTAATATTTCATTAAATCAAAACCATAAATGCTGCAAATGATTTCATTCATTAATTTGAATTGCATTTGAATGTGAATTTCGTTAATATTTCATTAAATCAAAACCATAAATGCTGCAAATGATTTCATTCATTAATTTGAATTGCATTTGAATGTGAATTTCGTTAATATTTCATTAAATCAAAACCATAAATGCTGCAAATGATTTCATTCATTAATTTGAATTGCATTTGAATGTGAATTTCGTTAATATTTCATTAAATCAAAACCATAAATGCTGCAAATGATTTCATTCATTAATTTGAATTGCATTTGAATGTGAATTTCGTTAATATTTCATTAAATCAAAACCATAAATGCTGCAAATGATTTCATTCATTAATTTGAATTGCATTTGAATGTGAATTTCGTTAATATTTCATTAAATCAAAACCATAAATGCTGCAAATGATTTCATTCATTAATTTGAATTGCATTTGAATGTGAATTTCGTTAATATTTCATTAAATCAAAACCATAAATGCTGCAAATGATTTCATTCATTAATTTGAATTGCATTTGAATGTGAATTTCGTTAATATTTCATTAAATCAAAACCATAAATGCTGCAAATGATTTCATTCATTAATTTGAATTGCATTTGAATGTGAATTTCGTTAATATTTCATTAAATCAAAACCATAAATGCTGCAAATGATTTCATTCATTAATTTGAATTGCATTTGAATGTGAATTTCGTTAATATTTCATTAAATCAAAACCATAAATGCTGCAAATGATTTCATTCATTAATTTGAATTGCATTTGAATGTGAATTTCGTTAATATTTCATTAAATCAAAACCATAAATGCTGCAAATGATTTCATTCATTAATTTGAATTGCATTTGAATGTGAATTTCGTTAATATTTCATTAAATCAAAACCATAAATGCTGCAAATGATTTCATTCATTAATTTGAATTGCATTTGAATGTGAATTTCGTTAATATTTCATTAAATCAAAACCATAAATGCTGCAAATGATTTCATTCATTAATTTGAATTGCATTTGAATGTGAATTTCGTTAATATTTCATTAAATCAAAACCATAAATGCTGCAAATGATTTCATTCATTAATTTGAATTGCATTTGAATGTGAATTTCGTTAATATTTCATTAAATCAAAACCATAAATGCTGCAAATGATTTCATTCATTAATTTGAATTGCATTTGAATGTGAATTTCGTTAATATTTCATTAAATCAAAACCATAAATGCTGCAAATGATTTCATTCATTAATTTGAATTGCATTTGAATGTGAATTTCGTTAATATTTCATTAAATCAAAACCATAAATGCTGCAAATGATTTCATTCATTAATTTGAATTGCATTTGAATGTGAATTTCGTTAATATTTCATTAAATCAAAACCATAAATGCTGCAAATGATTTCATTCATTAATTTGAATTGCATTTGAATGTGAATTTCGTTAATATTTCATTAAATCAAAACCATAAATGCTGCAAATGATTTCATTCATTAATTTGAATTGCATTTGAATGTGAATTTCGTTAATATTTCATTAAATCAAAACCATAAATGCTGCAAATGATTTCATTCATTAATTTGAATTGCATTTGAATGTGAATTTCGTTAATATTTCATTAAATCAAAACCATAAATGCTGCAAATGATTTCATTCATTAATTTGAATTGCATTTGAATGTGAATTTCGTTAATATTTCATTAAATCAAAACCATAAATGCTGCAAATGATTTCATTCATTAATTTGAATTGCATTTGAATGTGAATTTCGTTAATATTTCATTAAATCAAAACCATAAATGCTGCAAATGATTTCATTCATTAATTTGAATTGCATTTGAATGTGAATTTCGTTAATATTTCATTAAATCAAAACCATAAATGCTGCAAATGATTTCATTCATTAATTTGAATTGCATTTGAATGTGAATTTCGTTAATATTTCATTAAATCAAAACCA